AAATCACAAAAGATTTCAGAAGAGATCTTGAACTGACAGCCCTGGTTCAAATCACCCTGCACAAGCAGGGGATTTTGCTAATAATTGTAACTGTTCCCATCAGCTCAGCTCCACTGAAGGGGACGTGTGAGCAGAAACACTTCCAGACAGGACTTACAGACTTCTCATTTCTCCACTCTCAAATGTCAAACACAACTTCAGAAAATCTGGAACTTAAGCAGTAGTGCTTTAGCAGTAATCCAGCAAATTATCTCACAGAAATGTCATTTCAGCGTTGCGAAGACTGACTAAAAGTATGCACTGCTCTGCTGTGTTTTTAAAGTTACACTAGGAGCTTGTTGTTCAGCTCGCGTTTCCTCCCACAGCATATTCTGGTGACAACGTTTGATGGTTGAAGTTTGTCAGCCCAATTCAAGTTCTTCAAGAGCAACCTACATACTTTCTTCCCCAACTGGATGATCTTTTTAAGGAGAAACACCAAGATCTCTGTGCTGGTTTTGGCTGGGATAGAGTTCATTTTCTTCACAGTAGCTGGTATGGGGCTGTGTTTTGGATTTGTGCTGGAAAAAGCGTTGATAACACAGGGATGTTTTCGTTGTTGCTGAGCAGTGCTTACACAGAGCCAAGGCCTTTTCTGCTTCTCACCCCACCCCACCAGCGAGCAGGCTGGGGGTGCACAAGAAGCTGGGAGGGGACACAGCCGGGACAGCTGACCCCAACTGACCACAGGGATGTTGCACACCACAGGACATCACACTCAGCATATAAAGCTCGAGGTAGAAGGAACAGGGGGAAGTTCAGAGTGGTGGGGGGTGAGGGAGTGAGCAAGCGGCTTTGTGGTGCTTAGTTGCCAGACGGGGTTAAACCATGACAGTCTTTTTTGGTGCCCAACGTGGGGCACGAAGGGTTCGAGATAACCACAGATTTGACGGAATGTGCTAGATCGAATTTATAGCTGTTGTTGCTGTTTAGCTATTAATGGGCAGGCTCCTGCGCTTGCCACGGGGCTTGCTTGCCTTGCCCTGTGTTAGAGTCTAGTGCTCGTTAGTGGCTGCTTTTTGCTTTCGCTGCTTGCTGTGCTGCTTATCACCTTACTCTGCTGTGCCTGGGAACGTTTTGATAACAGCAATGGCCATGCGCCTGGGCTGGCAGA